CTAGTTGTGACTTTTTCAGGATTTTTTTTTCATTTTATCGTTCCATGTACGCTATATGCCACCTCTCGCCCATCCCTTCCGCCCCCTCCCCACCCCGCTGACGGCAGTCTTTTAGAAATGGGAACAGGAAGAAATTCGGGAAGCTAAGAGGGGAGATTGCAGTGGTAGGTAGGCATGTAGGATGGGACGGAGGGGTGTCGTTTCGGAAGGCAGGGTTATGTGTGCACACAAATATATGCGTACATATATATGTACTGTTATAGTCGAAGTGTGGTTAAGAATTACTTCTTCAAAAACTGAAAAAAAAAGTTTGGTGGAACTCTGATCGTAGGGGTAACTCGATGCCCTGATCACGAGTATGAAATTCGTCTTTGGACGCCGGCGGCAATTTGGCACCAACTCTTTTCTCACCAAAGTCGTTGTAAACTTGCATGCTGGGGTTATTCGGTACCCTAATCACTAACATGACAAACATCGTCAGCCCCGGCACCGTTTGCCGCTACACCGTTACCGTCAAAGTCGATAAAGCTTGTATAATAGGGTTGTTTGATCACAAATATGGGATTCATTTTTCGATACCAGCGCTATTTAGCGTTCTACTAAGGCAGAGCCTTGGAGAAGTGGTTCCCTTCAGGCCCTAGCAGAGCGCAGAAGATCGTAGTGTCCTCCACTAGCGCCATTGCCAAGAATGAACGTCATCTTCATAATCGGGATGCCAGACAACCCCCTATACAAGTTTTCAGCAGATTCGTTGATCTGCGGTATCTCGGCGCCAGCGCCTGTGGCGTGGACGCCAGGCATTTCAGGCCGAGCGAATGTAATATTCGTGTTCAGGAGGTCAAACTGCTCCTGGGGATAAGTTTTCAGCGGATTTGGTTGAGTAAACGTCTTGTACGGAGAAGTAGTTCCGTCGCATGCATACAAATATTAGGTCATCCCATTCAAACGTGCCGCCGGTTTTATTTGAATAAAACAAAGAGGAGAATAGATAAAAAAGTAATATTTTAGCCTTAGGTCAAATAAATCCTCCCTTCACCAATGACCCGCTCCCAGTGCCCCGAAAGCCTTTGGACCTCTGGTACCTTCCATTTTTCAACAAGTGTGGGTAAAGTTGCTGTTGATGCCAATTTCGGCAAATGACAAAGCATTGTAGCGTTTGCCGTCAGAATCTCAGTATTGTTTGTGTCCCAGCACTGCCCTACAATACAGTTACTCGGGGTCTGGCACTATGACGAGCAACGGTGGCCTTCTTGTAGTTGTGTGGTATCATCCATTTGCGGAACATTGCAATATTACACCGACAGCGACGATTTTATTCTCTGTATAGAGCCGCCTGAAAGTCATAGTGTGGGAATCCTTCGCTATGGTGATCATCCACTTGCACCCACGTAATTCCTCATGGTAGAATTTGGGCGGGATGATTGCGAGTCTCGGCTCGAGTTCCGAGACCACCCATATTTTCATCTTTAAGATCGGGGTGCGTTATTCACAGTCCTGTGAATGACATCTCAGTGCTGAGAACATTAACTGCTGGAGGATAGGAATCGGCACTTGCAGTTCGGTGCTTCTCTGTAATCAAAATTATGTACCTCTTGACACCCTCTGTGACCGTCCTCAGTTTATCCGGTCGCCTAATCAGCGACAGTAATTTTGCAGCAGGGATGTCAGTTCTCGCGGCGGAACTCGACAAAGCGTACTCGGGGCACTCTGCTGATCATCGATATTTCAGTGGCCTGACATTCATCAACCCTTTTTCCTTGTACAGGATCAACATTATGGGACCATCCAGTACAAGAAATTTTTTTCCTCTCATCCTTCTTCGGGCTCCTGAACCAAACTTTCACCTGTTATTTCAAAGAAAACACCGATTAGTACACAAAACTACTGTCCTGGCTCGCCACTCGAACATTGAGAAGCGCACTTTCCTGTTATGCATCTGATTGTTGAATGTTGCCGATTTTTGTGCGTCTGATTTGAAAAACCGGCGCCGATTTTCACCACTCGGGCTTCTTTTCAATTTCTCGAGAACTTCTTCTGGGGCTAGGTTCGCCAAATTTCACAGATACACAGCTTAAGGTACTAGCTTCCAAATGGTATAGTAGCCCGCTGCTCTATCCCCTTTGCTTTTCTGCCATTCCTCTATATGTAGCGGCACGTTTGAATGGGATGACCTAATATGTCTTTTCAGCAGCTCAAAAAAGTGGTCACGACTTCATCGGGCCGCGATAAAGGCAGTGACCCACGCACTGCTCTATACCGCAACCAGCATTCACGTTTAACGGCTACCTACCTAGTGGAGCAGTTGTTTCGCTAGTACCTTCTTCGTTCTGAATAGTGAGAGTTGAGGTGATAAGGGGAAAGAGCTACTATCGCCATGCCAACAAGTGAGATCCTTTCTTTCTTCCCTGTGGACGTTGATGTTCGTTTCGCACGGATCATACCTACACCATTGCCGAGGGTTCCTTTCGCTGCTCTTCCTCACTTTATCGCGCTCCCTGCTCGCATTGATCGGGATGGGGGCGGGGCTAGGACGTAGGGTCCCGCGATGAATGCATACCGTACCCGCAGCGATTTTCGGGCTCATTTTTACCTGTGAAATCAAGTTTTATGCGCGCCGTTCAAAGAAAACCTCTTGAAAATGCAATTCTCGATGTACCAAGATCTCTTTCGCTTACTTTCTTACTTTTACTAGCTATACTCTATTTTTGACTTCATGATAAATTTTTTTCCAGGTTCGAAGGAGAAGGTATCAAGGAAGCGGCACCCACCAAAGCGGCGAAATTTAAGCCCGGATACGGACGATGAGATCAGAATGAAGGCGCGAACAACGCAGTAGGTTCTTTCAGTTACATGATGTTTTTCGCTTTGTTCATCATGTTAGCGATTGAAAGGTGATCTGTTTCATGAATTTGTTTCAAGGGCTTTGTTTGTTGTCGTCAGGTTATCACTCCTAAAGGTACAGCGCCCGCTTACCTGAGAGGTTGACCCCTCCATGGGCGAAGTGGGGCAGTCAGCTGGTACCACTTTCACTACTTGGATGTGCGGGGTAGTGAATCTGAAAGGATGAAACTTAATCATCTGAATGTTCTTTTATGTCTCCACCCATAAGCATAGAAGCGGAGCAGGGCATAAACACGCAACACGCTGTACGACCAACTGTAGGCCTAACCATAACACGCTCTACTGCATATTTTCATGTGTGCCTTGGATGTCCACAGTCTTCTTTCCTTTTTTTTCGTTGGAAAATATCCAACGAATTCCATTAGAACAACCTAATGTATGATTGCGTGTCAAGTTTTTTTTTGTCCTTCATGCTGTAAGGAAGCTATATTATTGACGTTAAAATATTTAGGCGCGCGGCCAAACCGTTGAGGGTTTCACCGTATCGTTCGCGTGGAAGAGGGCGAGATGACAGGTTGGTTTTCTCTAACCGTACGAATTCACATATTCTTTTGTTTTTTTTCTCCGACTGGAGTGCCGCTATAGAGCTGGAATCTCTTATATTTCGTGGAATTCCTCCCTCCGATTGCAACGAGAGATTGCACACAGCTTATAGATCCCGAGCGAGCGGCTGTGTAGCGATCGCATGTGACAGGTGGCGGGTCAATACGCTTACGCGGCAGTCCAGGGTGATATCTTTTTGATATTGTGAATAGGAGTGACAGCCTACTATTGGACGGCTCCGAAGCTTTATCGTCATCAGTTCTACGGCAATACAAATGCAGAAACCCCTAAGGTGAAGGACTTCCCTTTCTTATGCACTATCGCCATGATGGCGGAGATGGTGCACATGCCTTGCGCGCGGTTCGGGGATCGAATCTCAGTTGAGCTCTCCCAGGGCGACCAATTAGAAGCAAAGAAAAACAAACATGGGAAAGGAATACACTCCACAAGCACAGATGATCCGTTTCGCTCGGTATCGCAGACGAATCATCATTGTCTAGCCAACCCCAGGCTCGTCAGTGCGACAGGTTGACGACATGAGGACATGGACCACATAGGGGAAGGAGTTGAGAAATAGGATAAAACGAGAGAAAATATGAAAAAAGGTTCACATGCAAAATTCATGCAATCAAGATGAGGAGGATTGTGTAGAAAAATGAAAGAAGGACATAACTGGATGTGAGTATTGAATGTGTGTAAGAGGTAGGAAAAAGGATTGTGTCATTAAAAGGCTAAACCACTGAGAGAAGATTGAGTGTAAAACACTGTGGAAGCGATCTACAAAAAGTTAAGTAAAAAAATTCAGTGGTAAGAGGGGAATTAGTGTTGAACACCGCTGCCAGTGAGAATACCTTTAACTAGTCTACTTATCTTTCCATAGTTATTTGCGAGCCGAATTGCACCCTTGAGACAGCGTCAGTTCTCGCTATGACGAAGCGCTACTGCGCGCTGTTGTTGCAATAGCCATTAGTGCTCCGAGAAAGCACAGGAGAATAGGAGGATACGCGTTGCCTAGTCGCGCAGTTTGGTACTCGCAAGCAGCCAGCGCCGATTGATTCCCACCCCTATGGTCCTGTTTCCCTATAGTATTGGAGCGCTGTTACAGTGGTACCACGTTCAGGCGTATCATGTCGAAGTATGAATGCTGCCCCAAGCCTTCAAGTTACTCCTGTGCTTTGCAACATTACTGGGCGCATCCTTTTGGCTCTTTAGACCAGTGTTCGCAAGATTGGGTTGCTGCTGTTGTGTAGGATTCATTACCTTACTACTTGTTTCTGCATTGAAACTTCCTCTTTAGGGATCGTCGTTCTAGATCGAGGTCACGGTCGCGGCGACCGTATTCGAGATCGAGAAGTCGGAGTCGGCCACGTGACAAGTATCGTCGCAGATCGAGGTCGCGAACTAGAAGTCGCAGTCGCAGTAATGATCGCTACAAATCGCGGTGAGTTGGCTGACAAGCGAAATTGAGGGCAATGTTCGTGTTAGAGCAATGTTAGAGCCCTTCCAGATCACGTCGAACGCGTTCACGATCCCCTTCGAAGAGTCGAAGTCGCAGCAGGTCTGCTAGCCCCAGTCGCAGCCGTAGCCGTAGTCGAAGCCGTAGTCGAAGTCGAAGTCGCAGCCGCAGTCGCAGCCGTAGTTCTAGTCGTAGTGCTAGTCGGCCCCGAAGTAGGTCTCCAAGGAGAAATCCGTTTGAGAAGAGCAAAAATAGGAGCAGAGGCCGCAACAAGAAAGCTCGAATAGACAAAGCGAAATTGTTGGCGATAGCACGAAAGAAAGCACAAAAGATGCAGCTGGTGAGTTCAGGTGCTAGGTGTTTGCCTTGGCTCTTATCGATTTCATTGATTTCAGTTGGGTATCAGCCTTGGAGCGTTAGATCCAAATTTGCAAAACCCACCAAAAAGTGTCGACGACTTTGTGTGTGAGTTCGGCTTCTGGTTTCTTAGCCCTGTACTATCTGATGAAGCTATGTGGCCCTTTTCTGCTTCAGCATACTGCCAACAAATCCAGCGTCGTCAGGATAAAGAGAGTCGTCGTGAAAAGGGAGAGCCGGTGACAACTGATGACGAAGGCGATCGCGAGAAGGGCGATTCAGCCAAAGACAGCCCTGCGACATTCAAGCATCCATTTAGTGTGCGAGCCCCCGCTTCATCGGATGGCATCAAGATAAACATCGTGGTTTGTCTTTTTTTGATTTATCCCTCGTAATTTCTGTTCTGTTGAGAGCAGACCCGAAAAATATGCGGCTATAATTTTACTGTTCCAGAATGCAACCCCCATCCCCACAAAGACCCCGCAAGAAAGGATTTTAGACTCAACTCAACTACGACTGGTCTATCCCGTATCGTCTGGTATTGTTCATAAAGAAAATACGGTGAGTGTGAGGAACTTGGTTTTTTGTGGTGCAGAGAAAATGTGAAGTGTTCAGGACAAGTGGACTCCGGTAGTGAAGGATGAGTTGAAGACGTGTTCTGACGAACAGAAGAAATACGTTGCGGTTACGAGCCTAGAAGCTGAGCGACTTCGATCGGCCTCTGTAAGTTCCAGGAATAGCGGCTATATTATAGTTTTGACTGCTGTCCTTTTACTGAACAGCCAGAGTCCAATCTTTCAATTATATTGCCGTGGAAGGTTCATCTGGACACCCCTGAAAGTCACTAGGGTTTACAGGGTGTAGAGCTTTTAGCAAGTGATATGGGTTCGACCCTTTTCAAATATGATAATGTGAGACTTGAAGACACATTCCGGGACTCTCTGTTAGGTCTGCGCAACCCAAAAGCTAGCTAAAATATGAAACCCTTCGAAGTGCACGATGGGCAAGTCCCCAGCCGCCACGTAGTGTACCACTTTGCCAAGATAGTGAGTGGTATGAGTATCATTCAAGCTCCGAGGGCTTATGGATTCAGCATGCCCCGGTCTTCCTCATTCTGATCCCACCGTTGATGATTCGCGCCAGGACAAAATCCACTCAAAGTACAGTGCGGCGGCGCACCAACTCTTCTGTTCCTCTATGCCTCTCTCGAATTGATTGCTCTCTTCGTGCCGCGCGAGTAGTATCTCTGTGTCTCTATCCATCGTATGCTCCCTCAATGCTGAAAATAACCCTTGTGTGCGCTGTTTTCAACGGGTTTCTTGCATCTTTTTCATCGGACGTGAATTCGACACCACTAGAACTCGCGTGTGGCGAATGAAGGCTGCGAGTATACCTAGCGGTCTGGAAAGAAGAAAATCGGCTACTATTTTTGCGAAGTGTGCGTCCAAAGGAGGGGGTAGGTAACGATCGATTCCAGTCATTAAACATTAGACGTTGGAGAACCCACATTTTTTCCCAAAAAAAAAAATAAAAGCTCAGGTGTCGTCGGTTCTTCTGTTCTTTCGCCGTGCCTTATGAACGCAGCATCATACCCTGTAGCGGATGTTACACGGCTGGCCGTGGCTTATTTTCAACGAAATGATTTTGGATTTTCGACGTATTTCATGCCTCCCCTGTCCCATTTTTTATCCGTTTGCCGTCAGCTATGGCTGCTCGCCAGATGTTAGCTACCTGGGTGAAACGTGAATGAAGTATTGGGCACTGGGTTTGAATTGGGGCGAGTAGTCTCTGTTCTTGAGCAGCGTTTCAGGAGCTGTCGCGATGGCAGCGCTTGGATCGCGCGTTCGACGCGATCGATGCAGTAGAAAGCATGCGCATCGATCGCGCCGAACGCGCGGCCGAAGCGCTGCCGTCGCGAAGTCTGAACGCTGCCTTATTCTTTTTTGTGCAATTACATTACAATAATTTTTATAGAATCCTTCTGATGACCACTTGTTACCTCCACCGCCGCCACCCCCTGTTCTCACAGGGCTTGGCGGTCTTCTGCCACCACCACCACCTCCGCCGAAGCTTACCGTAAGTTTTTGATACGATGATTAGAAGTGAAGCGTTATTAGGATGTTTCCAAGGCATTCGATATGCTTCTTCCTCCGCCACCTCCATTACCTCAGTTGTTGGTGGTACCCTCGGAAGATAAACTAATCATAAAGGAGCCCGAAAATATTGAAAAGGTAAGTTTCTTGCATGTTTGATGAGAGAAAAGTTGGCTGACTCCGAGCTAATGCATGAGTATTTAGGTGAGCTCAAAAGATGTATCGAAGGTACTGGCTCAAAGGGCAAGCGCTCAATTGAGATTGAATTCTAATCCGAACGACTTTGAAGCGTTGCGATCGTTGAAGGAAGCAGATGATCAGGTTGGAACTGTCTGGTTTAGCCTCAAATTTCTGTTCCGTGTTATGCTGCCGGTAGCGGGTGTAAGGCGTGTACGATGCGCGACGACACATTCGGCGCAAATTTTTGTGTGAAAGAATGTTCGCTCATTGCGCTGTAAAGGAAGAGTCTGAGAATGCGACGCCAGTCAAGTGTGGTGCTATTCGCCAGCTCGGACCAAATCGGTTGGTAGATACACGCCTACCCAACCACGTTGGGCCAGGCATCAGACACTAGTGGTAGCTGTGCAGCGACGTAGCGTAAGCCGTAATCGCACCGGAATCTGATTTATTCCGCATGGAAGTGCTGAAGCTGACGAATCGACTATCTGTGAGAGCTTGAGCGGAGGGGGGGGGGGCATTTCGCTGGGGATCATCGATAAGTGCCAGTGTTGATTCCTCCTAAGGAGATCTGTGAATTCTTCACTTGACAAGAGTCCACAGGTCTTACCAGCAAAAAAAAAAAAAAATCTAAGTGAAGTGCAAAATGCCCCCCCCCCTCCTGAGCCAAACAGCGCCCTTTACAGCTTATACTGGAAGCTGAAACCTTGTTTTCCCAACCGATACCGATGGTTGACTTGAATTATCTTGAGAAACAGGTTTTAGGTGAGAGTTAGGTTTTTGAGTTAGGTTTTTCCCTGATGGAGAAGGTCTACAGTAGGCGCTGTGATGACGCTTTATACCTGTTTTTTTATGGCTTTATGGCTCTTGTTCTGCTAACGATGGAACCCCAACAGGTCGATCCGGCCATTTGCAATGAGATGTACACAAATGGACGTGTCTTGAGCCGCTGAATCCAAACCTGCCCTCGGATTTTGCGGAACGATGCTCTGAAGGGTTACGGACCATTTTCTGCTCTGTCTGCACAAATTGGGAACGATAACTGCGCTGCGCGCCAAAGCGCGCCGATGGCCGTAGTGGCACTGCGCACTGCTTCGGAGGCGGAAGCTGCGCCATGTTGGAACTCCGTGAGTCTCATGAGAGATTTTTTGCTTTTGTTTAAAACACTTTTTCATATGAGTCCTTCAAACACTTCTGTTTGGCCAATTTACCTAGTTCTTTAATTATTTGACAATGGAAGGCGACCGGTTCTCCCTTTCTGGTTCCTTTTGGAAACATTCATTATAAGGATAACCGTTTCTGGAGCTTGCATCAAGAAATGAGGATCTCACGGTTTAAGAGCACATGTGGTATCCTTCCACAAAATGATAGAAATAATAGGAATTTTCGCAATGAGCACAGGCGAAAACAAATACGTCTCCACACACGGTACCGTGTACAGTTCGTCCACCAGTCCAGAGGGGGCAAACCGGGGAAACGGTACTGAAGAGGTGTTTCAAAATCTACCAGGATGTGTTTCGAAGTATCCAACCGAGTACCAAGATTTACCAAGATTAGATAAGAAGTTTTGAACCTAGGTGAGCAAAATTTAAAATATACTAGAGATAAGATACGAGAATGGAGTCCCGTCATGTTTTGAAAAATATATTATGGGGCTAATACATAAGAAGTGGAAGCGTTATTATAGGCTGTCTGGACACGCGTAGGAAGAAGGTACGTTGTTTAAAGGTTGAATTCGAGGGACGTTGCACACTGTGTATATTGAGCTTTCACACCTCTCTCATATTCATTAGCATGCCGAGCAGATCGAATGGATTCGATGATCCTATGAAGGAAATCCACGAGTTCGAACTATGAGGGCGCGCTCCCGACTGGCGGGTGGCATCGACCGCTCCTTCCGGAAAGTGAGGGGGGGGGGCGGAGTACTGGCAGGGCAGCCACACAGTTCAAGGTCAGTTCAATCCTGCATGAACGCTGTTTCGGGACATATGAGTATTGCTTGGTTGAGCCAACAAGTTATCAGCTTGAAAATGCATTTCGGAAGGGAAAGCTCCACTGGGTTCCTGTTAAAGTAGATATTAAAATGTAGATAATATGGATTGCGTGCAACGGACCTGCATAACCACAAAAAGTTGCACATGTGCTCTTAAACCGTAAGATCCTCATTTCTTGATGCAAGCTCCAGAAACGGTTATCCTCATAATAAAAGTTTTCAAAAGGAACCAGAAATGGAGAATCGGCCGCCTTCCATTGTCAAATAATTAAAGAACTAGGTAAATGGCCAAACAGAAGTGTTTTAGGGACTCATATGAAGTGTTTTAAACAAAAGCAAAAAATTTCAAGAGTCAAGGGTTCCAACATGCGACCTCGCGTCTCCGAAGCAGTGCGCTTATCCACTACGCCATCGGCCGCTTGCCGCATGCAGTTATCGTTCTCAACTTGTGCGAACAGAGCAAAGATTAAATGGTCCGTAACTCCCTTCAGAGAATCGTTCCGCAAAATCGGAGGGCAGATTTGGATTCAGCGGCTCAAGACACGTCCATAAATGTACATCTCATTGCAAATGGCCGGATCGACCTTGGGGTTCCCTTGTAAGATAAACGTGTTTGAGAACTGGCATTTTAGCATCTGTTATAGATGGCTGCTTGGGCGGCTGCTAAAACTTTGCCTGGCAAGTTTACGGGCTCCACGGGTGTTAATGTGCTGTCGTCAGAGGAGCTTCAACCTCACGATCCGCGTTTTAATGCGTGGGTGAAGAAGGTATTTTTCGTACCATTACCGTTCATTTTTGTTGTGTTGTGTTGTTGCAGTTTCTTTATGGGCTCACGTGCTGATTCAGCCGACGAGCGTAGGTGCGCAGGTAGTAAGATTAGATCACTCCAAATGGGCTGGTTGATAAGGACTCAAAGACACATTTCGCATTGGGTAGTCGAAGAAATGGGTGGGAACCCATGGGATTACGCTACACTCATAGGTTTGTCGGGGGAATGAATACTAATCATCGTACTGCGGCCATTTTTCGTCCTTCCTCTCGAATGCGTCTTCAAAAAAGTAGAAGTTCTGTAGTGCGTTTCTATTAAAGTTTTGCACTGAAAATATACTATGATTATATGATTTTTTTATAGAGCTTATAGCGCTGTTGGCTTGATGGGGGCATTTTGCCCTTTCACTTGTTCCTTCTGTTAGTTCACGAGTTCATGTTAAAATACGTCTCATTGTGGTCAGACCTGTAAAGTCCTGTGATGCTACGGAATTCTTTGAGTAAACTACTTCGGTCACAGCAGTTTACAGGTCGCCACAAGGTGACCAGCACACACTCATCTGAGTACCATTCGGTGCCCCCACCAAGCTAACTGCGCCTTTTCCATATGTTATAAATTGGATTTTGGGTGTTTCCAAGCGTAATCATGCAGTGTTTTACATGAAAACTAGGTTCTAATTTAGCGCTCATTGCGTGCTCTGTTCGCTGACCATATGGCTAATAAGCGAGGCGCGTTATTAGCCATTTGGTCAGACGAAATTCGAGTTAACGCAAGTCTCTTTCTGCAGGATGAGGATGTTGATGTGCAGGCTTAACGACGACTAGCTCACTATGCTGTGATGTGAACTGGACGGGCATTTACTAAAAAAGTTGTCGTCTAATCTGTCTTGCGATGTTGATAATCATATATTCACTACATATGCCATGGGAGGAGGCCGATTTTGTTCTTTCGACGGGTGAAACGTGAGTTTTCAATTTCAATCAACGTTTGTAGTCCAATATATCTA